TTCCTTCCTTCCTTCCTTCCTTCCTTCCTTCCTTCCTTCCTTCCTTCCTTCCTTCCTTCCTTCCTTCCTTTTCTGATACAAGGTCTTATTTTATAGCCCAGGCTAGCCTCAAACTCACAGCAATCCTCTGGCCTCATCCCCCAAAAGTGCTGGAATTATAAATGTGCAGCACCACACCTAGACAACTTGTGTAAATTAAAAATATATATATATATGTAATTTTGTGTATTATTTATGCATGCTGGAGTGTATGTATGTGCATCCCATACATGCAGGAACTAATTTGTGTCAGAAGAGGCATCAGATCCCCTAGAACTAAACTGGAGTTCCAGGTTGTTATGAGAGACCACGTGAGTGCTAGGAATTCAACCCATGTCCTCTGCCAGAGCAGTAAGCATTCTGAACTGCTGAGCCCAACTTGGGAATGTTTGATAATGCTTTTCATGTTGTAAGAAACCCATCCCTGCTAGGCAGGCGTGGTGGCTCACGCCTGTAGTTCCAGCACTTGGGAGGCAGAGGAAGGCAGATCTCTGCGAGTACAAGAGGCCAGCCTGGTCTACAAAGTGAGTCTAGGACATCCAAAGATACACAAAGAAACCCTGTCTCAGAAAAAAGAGAGAGAGAGAGAGAGAGAGAGAGAGAGAGAGAAAGAAAGAAAGAAAGAAAGAAAGAAAGAAAGAAAGAGAAAAAAAGAAAGAAAGAGAGAGAGAGAAGGAAGGAAGGAAGGAAGGAAGGAAGGAAGGAAAGAAAGAAAGAAAGAAAGAAAGAAAGAAAGAAAGAAAGAAAGAAAGAAAGAAAGAAAGAGAAAAAACCCATCCCAAAGGTACTCAGTGAGGTAAGGGTACTTTCTGAGCAAGCATGAGTATTTGAGTTCAAGCCCCCAATACCCACATAAAAAGAGAGGTACAGTTATATAAACACCTGTTACACCTTTGTCATTTGGGGGAGGGGTGTGTGTGTGTGTTAGGAGGATCACCAGTTCCAACTTTAGTAAAAGACCCTGTCTCAAGACAATAAGACCAAAAGACCCAATATCCTTCCACTGACCTTTGTCATCTTTGTAGCTGTCTCTCTCTCTCTCTCTCTCTCTCTCTCTCTCTCTCTCTCTCTCTCACACACACACACACACACACACACCGAGACAAGAGGGAGGGGAATGAGAGCCTTACCACTTGTTACCTATCTCAATATCTGGGTTACAGAGGGAGTCATCCAAAGCCAGCTCAGTCCATATATCAAGTACCAGAACAACCAAGGCTACATAAGATTCCATCTCAAACAACAACAAAAACAAAAGAAAAAAGAGATCCTTTCTTCAAAAGTTGGAAAAATACTTAACTATTAATAAATATTATCTCAAAACAATTTCGAATCAAGGTCTTATATATTAAGCTGGTCTCAAACTCCCTATGAAATTGAACTCCTAATCCTCCTGCCTCTACCCTTCAAATCTTGGGATTACAGGAATACACCACATTGTTTTATGCAGTGCTGGGAACGGAACCTAGAGCTCTATGCATGCAGGTGCACTGCCCACATATGTAATTTCATGCACACACATTCATACTTGTGTACATACGTGTGCTCACATACTCAAGCACACTAAACAAACAAACAAACAAATAATTCTAACACTGAGTTTCAGAAAATCTACGCCAGCCAGGTATGATGGCACATGCTTACAGGTTCAACTATTCAGAAGACTGAGGCAGAAGGATCACTTGAGCCCAGAAGCTGAAGACTACATATTACAATAAAACCAGACCCTGTCTTAAATACCAAGAAAACAAAGGGGGGCTATACCACAGCTTAGCACGCTAGAAAAATTAGCTGGGTGTGCTAGCACATACCTTTAATCTCAGGGCTGGAAAGGCAGAGGCAGAGGCAGGTTGACCTCTATAAGTTATTTAATCCCAAACTGGTCTACATTGCAAGTTCCACACTTGCCAAGGCTACATAGCAAGAACTTGTCTCTAAAATCCAAAAATAAATAAATAAAACAAAATAAAATAATGAAAACGACAAAAGACCCCAAGAAATCAGATTCTCTCTCTTTCAAATTTTGAATAAAATATTTTACATTTTAGGCTATATCAATATTATATGTTAAAAAGTTTATCAAGCACACACGCACATATTCTGTTATATTTTTATGGCCCTCACAATTATGATTGAATACTCACGAGATCAGCATATTTCTTACAGAGAGCTGCCAGCTTCTCCTCTGGGGTTGAAAGGGTGTTTAGCGCTTGCATCAGTAATAAAACTTCTTTTCCTAATGATGACCAAGAAATAAGTACTGAATAGTAAGATCAAATATGACCTGTGAATTCTACCAATACTTCCCATGTTTTAATCTCAGAATAAAATAATTTCTACCTATGAGAAATATAGTATTTGCCAGTTCAATTTTGAAAGCTATTTTGAGCTGGATATGTTGGCTCAAATTGCTAACTGCAACATGCAGGAGGATTCTCCAGTTCAAGACCATCCTGGGCCACAGAGTATCAGAAAACCAAACCCAAACCAAATAAACTATTTAGGAATATAGCTAAGTGGAAGAACAATTGGCTACCATGTCCTGGGTTTGATTCTCATCAAGGTGAGGAGCTACTTTTACACTCTGGATTAACAGACTCTCCTCTCTTCCTCATCCATCCCCATCTTAACTTGTTCCACTCATTAACACTGCTAACTTAGAATTCTTTTTATTGAAGAGGTAAATATTCCCTTGTCTAACCATTAGATGCCTATTTTAAGACAAATGGCAAATTAAAATAACAAAGACAAATTTTAAAAGTTTCCGTCTGACCAAGTATAAATATAAATAGACTTTCAGTTGGTTATATAGTTTGCCTATCTCAAATGCACATACTTTTCATATGTGCAGTTTAAGTAACTTATTTTCTGGTGATTTACTTTGTTCTTCCCGCGTTAGCCAATGTTATCAAAAGTAAAAGAACAGCAAGATAACTCTCCCCTGGGGCCGGGGTAGAGGAGGCTTAACAGTATTTTAAGTACGTTGACAAGGAAAATCATGTAGATTGAGTGTTTCAAAATAGATGATTTTTTAAGATGGTTTCTCAGTAGTTTTTGGCTGTCCTGAAACTCACTATGTAGTAGACCAGGTGGGCCTTGAACTCACCTGTCTCTGCCTCCTGAGTGCTGATACTAAAGGTGTTTGCCACTACACCTGGCTTAAAATAGGTGATATTTTAAATTTCTTACTTTTTTGTCATTGCTTTTCAAGACAGAGTTTCTCTGTGTAGCCTTGGCTGTCATGAACTTGCTTTGTAGACCAGGCTGGCCTCGAACTTACAGAGACCCACCTGCCTCTGTGCTGGGATTAAAGGCATGCACCACCATGCCTGGCTTCTGAAAGATCCCGTTAGCCCAACAGAGTAAGATGCCTTCTTCCATCTCCCAAAAAAGGAAAAAAACAAAAACAACAACAACAACAAAAAAAAAAAACACAAAACTTTTCCATCCACATACATTTATTAGTAAAAACCCAGGAACTATTTAGCCTAAGACCAAAAAGAACATTACGAGTATTCTTAAATTCAAAGGCTTTTGTTGTTCTTTGTTTTCAGTACTAGGACTTTTTCGTGTGAAACACTTTGCAAACTACAATTCACTTTTAATTTATTTTTAATTTTGTTGTTGTTTTTAGAGATATGCTGCCCCAAGTTAACAATCCTTCTTCCTTATCCTCCAGAGTAGCTGAGATGATAGGTATGTACCATTCACCTGAATAAAATTCACTTTAAAATACACAATTTATTTCTTGAGTATACCAAAAAGAAAATGAAAAAGTACACAAATTAGTGATAGGTATTCTCTGCCAACAAAATGAACCAATTCAAGCCTAATTAAAGTATGAAGGCAGATTTATTGGGAACAGCTATTGGGTGTCTTCACTGGTCTCAAGGAAAGGAGCCGGGGAAGTGAAGAAGCAGAGAGACAGAGAAGGGGGAAAGGAAGGGAAAAAGTGCACAGAGAGGGAGAAAGGAGAGACAAAAATGTCTAGATTATATAGATAAACGCTTTTTTTTTTGGGTGGGGGGGAGTAAGCTAAGCCCCTAGGATGTAAAGTAAGTCTCCATTGATTTGTCTCCATTGACTTGTAACAGGTAGGGACTGAGAGATGCTGGGAGAACCTGAAGGCCAGGTCTGCTTTGATATGTTAAACAGGCACCTCGGCTGCTTGTCCTAAGTCTGAAACCCAACAATTAGTATGTTCACAAGGTTGTACAACTGTCACAACTATCTAACTGGGGAGTGTTTTTATTATCCCCCAGACCAACCATATCCAATAGTATACACTTCTTGCTCTTCCATCTGCCCCGAACCCTGGCAATCACAAATCTACTTTCTGTCTCCAAAAAGTTTATAATTTTGGATTTCATACAAAAGAGACTTTATTACAATGTGTAGCCTTTTGTGTCTGGCTTCTTTTACACTGCAAAATATTTTGCTAGATTCATTCATGAAGGCTGTATCAATGCTTCCTTTCTATAGCTAAATAATATTTTATCATATAAATAGACTATACTTTGTTTACGTATTATATATACTCATTATATAATGAATATTTGTGCTTTTTTTCTATTTTTGAGCTATTAAGAATGTTGCTATGAACGTTGTCTAAAACTTCTATGCATGCAAGTTTCAATCTTCTTGGGTATGTATATATGCTTAGTTGCTTGTTCATGTAATAAATTATGTGTTACCTTTGACTTTTTATAAATATAATTAGGACTACTGATTTAAAAAAAAAGTGTCAAAAGGAATTATAATTATTCTTCACCCAAGCACAGTGGCACATGCCTGTAGTCCCAGCACTCGGGAAGGCAGACACAAGTGGATCCCTGTGAGTTCGAGGTCAGCCTGGTCTACAGACTGAATCTAAGACAGCTAGAGGTACACAGAGAAACCTGTCTTAAAAAAAATTTAAAAAGACAAAAAGATTACTTTTCATATTCCTTAACATTTTACAGCTTAAAGATTAGAAGGAGATTTAAGTTATTAAGAAAGGTAACTCAAGTATGCCAGAGTGGTACGTACTGATAACCCTAACATGTCTGGTTATATATTGAGTTCAAGGCAAGCCTGGGCTACATACAAGACCTTTTCTCAAAAGAAAATCCCTGCCCCAAAGAAACATAACTCTAGACATATATACAACAGCCACAGACCTGGGTGTGGTGGCAAACACCTTTAATCATAGGCAGTTCAAGTCAGCCAGGGCTGCACAGTGAAACCCTGTCACAAAACAAAAACAAACAACAAAAATCACCCCTTATCAATCATAGATGTAAAGTATGATTGATGATAGACTTTTTGTTTGTTTGTTTTTGGAGACAGAGTTCCTTAGCTGTCCTGGACTCACTTTGTAGACCAGACTAGCCTCAAACTCACAGAGTTCCACCTTCCTCTGCCTCCCCAAGTGCTGGGATTACAGGCATGGGCCGGCCACCTCACCAGGCTGTGCAACGGTAAACTTTTAATTGCAGCACTTAGGAGGCAGAGGCAGGTAGTTATCTGTAAGTTTGAGGCAGCCTGGTACACAGTAAGTTCCAGGACAGCCAGGGCTATATAGAGAGACCCTGTCTCAAATAAATAAATAAATAAACAAACAAACAAACAAACAATAAACTCAGGGGCAACCAGAGAGACTCAAAGGAGATTTTAATTTTCTTCATGAGATTTAGCATATCACAAAATGGGGATATGGCACAGTGGAAGAATCCTTGCCTAGCATGCATGAGACCTTAGGTTCAATCCTTGGCATGGGGAAGAATGACCTAAGATACAACAACACACAATTTAATGGTCCAGCCAGTTATGCATGCCTTGATGCACTTGGGAGCTAAGTCTAGAGCATCAGGAGTTAAAGGCCAGCCTCAGTAACACAAGAAATTTGAAGTTAGCCCAAAATATGTGAGACCTTATCTCAAAAACAAAAAAGATTAAGCATATCATATTCTAAATCACAAGCTATATGGAAGTAAAAAATACGCTTGAAAGCTGGTTAATTCCCTTTCTGAAGTACAGTTAGCATACTGTCTATAAAACATAATGTCCAGTCTTCTGTTTGTTTTGTTGGTTGTCTTTTTGTTTGTTTGGTTGGTTTGGTTTGGTTTGGATTTTTGAGAGTGTTTCTCTGCGTAGGCTTGGCTGTCCTGGAACTTACTTTGTAGACTGGGCCTGCCTCTGCCTCCCTGAGTGCTGGAATGTCCAGTCTTTTTCTTTTTAAAAATGGATTTATTTAGTATTTATGCAGTATTCTGCCTGCATGTGTGCCTGCATACCAGAAGAGGGCACCAGATCTCATTATAGATGGTTATGAGCCACCATGTGGGTGCTGTGACTTGAACTCAGGACCTTTGGAAGAACAGCCAGTGCTCATAACTTCTGAGCCATCACTCCAGATCTCAAAATGTCCAGTCTTAAACTGATTAAATAAATACACAGTTTTCACATAGTTTTTGATCAGCCTCATAAAGATGCAAATAAGGCAAGTCAAATACCATTCTAGCCTCAATTTTTTTGAGAGTTAATCCTTGATTATACAAAGAGAAATAACTAAGCTTCCTACTGTTCTTTCCACCACCTGCACATAACTGCAATGGAGAAGCTGACTAGCCTGAGGCAACAGGTATTTATTTTATACTGATTTCATGTGTGTGTGTGTGTGTGTGTGTGTGTGTGTGTATGTGTGTGTGTGTGTGTGTATGTGCATGCCACAGTACATGTGTGAAGGTTAGAAGACAACTTGTAGTAGTTGTGCTCTTTGACAATTATGGGTCCCAAGGACTCAGGTCCTCAGTCTTAGCCAGTGAGTGCCTTTAGCCACAGAGCCATCTCACAGGCCCATAACAGGTGTTTTAGCTAAGTACGCCCACCCTGGCAGTGTTCCTGGTTACCTGTCTTGTACACAATGTGAATAAAATGAGTACTATGTGAAAACAACATTCAACTGATGAACAGAGTTAATTACCTAAGGTCTTCTCTTTGTTCTTGCTGCACTCTGAATCTTGCTGGCCATCAGGGGGAACTGTTAGAGCTTCTTGCCCAGGAATTTCTTCTCTTGACTCCTGAGTACAGAAGGCTGAGCTCACCAAATTTCTGTTCCTTGTTATAAAGTCACTGCTTTCATCCCCTTCCAGTGAATGCTTCTTAGTTGTACCACAACTGGAATCTTGATGTTGAAGAATATCATTTGTTTGAGAGTTACATAACATGTCTGCTTTCACTGCTAATCCACAAATTCCAGCTTCTTCCATTGTACCAATTTCAAACTACAGGAAATGGAAGAAAAATGGAAAGAGGTAAATTGAATGTAATCAATATTTATAACCAATGGCGTGCCATAGCTTGACAGTTTTACTTAGTGGTTTGTGCATTCGATGTAAATAAGGCAGCTTTTAAGTTTCGCTGAGACATGATCTAAACTGTTAAACATAAAGCTATTACATCATATATCCTATCCTATCCTATAATATTATATTACATTATATTCTCAGCTGGGATATAGCTCTGAGGTAGCAGTGTTTTACTTCAAGAGCACCTGGATCCCATCCATAACATTGCCGAAAGGTAAAGTAAAAATACAACATAACTATATGTGACCAAAGGAGGCTAAAATGCCAGTTAGTAATAAATCTAAACTTATTTCTCTACAAAAATTCACCATTTAAAAATGATTACTATCCTTTCAACGGTGAACTGTCCCAAGTTGATAAACATTAACTATACTGCTGGTATCTTAAAATTGATAGGACAGCCCAGCTAGCTGGCCAGGTGGCTATCCACCAAAAACTAGCTCCCAAAGTATCCAGTGGAGTAGGCACTGAGGGACAAGTGCCAGTACCCAGCACATTGTATACATTTCCCAGCTCCTTGACAGATAAGATTCCCATATTAGTCCAGGCTGTGAATGTCGCTTTAGCAACACATTTGTATTCTTAGAAGGTAGCTAAAGCTATGACTGTGATTTCAGGAAACAGATTTTTATCCTCAGGACATGTTCTTTGTCCTCCATCTCTTTCCCACTCTGCTTAAATACAGAGGTCACCAAGGTGGTATAAGAGCGGAGCCAGACGACAAAAGCAGCCTCGCCCAAATTCTGTATACATGCAGAAAAGACACTCTACCTGCAAAGAAAACACATACTGGAATATTAGGTGAATAAGTAATAAACTTCTCTCATGTTATACCAAAGAAATGGAGACTGGCATGTTAAATGGCTCTCCCTATCACTAATATGAAAGGCATGCATACAAAAACAAACAAACAAAAAAGCACTTATATCTCTTTTTCTTCTCCCTTGAATCATTACTTTTACCTTATTCTCTTTTGTCGTATTTTTGTTCAAGACAGGGTCTTGTAATACATACCTTGGGTTGGCTTAAAACTTAATATCCTTCTGCCTGGGCCTCCTGAATTTTGAGATTACAGGTGAGCCCCACCACAGCTGGCCAAACCTATTTATTTCTCTTCTCTGTATCATATTTATTTCACATTATTTGGTTACATGATATGTCACAACTATAAACTCTACATTTCCTTTCTGGTTGAAAAGAGGGTTTCTATCTGGATGGTGGTAGTGCACACCTTTAATCCCAGCATTAATCAAACAGAGGTGAGCTAATCTCTGTGAGTTTGAGGCCAGCCTGGTCTACAGAGTGAGTTCCAGGACAGCCAGGACTGTTACACAGAGAAACCCTGTCTCGAACTCCACCCTCACCCCCCCAAAAAAAAAGAAAAGAGGGTGTCTTCCTTTTCAAATACAACTGAGGTACAAAGTACCTAATATAGTTCCCTTATCACAAGTAGAGAAAAGATACTTTGAAAATTAAGGGGCTGGAGCTCAGTGGAAGAACATGTGCAAGGCCTGGGTTCAAGCACCAGCACTAGAAGAGAAAAAGAATACTTTTTTCAAATTACACTTGTTCGGTCTGGTGGTTCATACCCATAATCCTAGCACATAAAAATGGCACAGCAGATGTGGGAGATATTGGGGGAGGGAAAAACATGGGCAAAATATATTATATATGAAAATTGTTTTTAGCTGGGCATGGTAACATACAGCTTTCATCCCAGCAAGTTTGAGGCCAGCCTGGTGTACAAAACAAGTCCGAAACAACCAGGGCTTTGTTACAAAAAGAAACCCTGTCTAAAAAAAAAAAAAAACAAACAAACAAGCAAAAACAAAACAAAATTGTTTTCAATTCAAAAAGTTAAAATAAATAAAAGGTTAAAGCAGGAAGATCGGCCTGTAATCCTAGTACTCAAGAAGGCAGAGGCAGGAGGATCTCTGTGAGTTTGAGGTCAGCCTGGTCTACAAGGTAAGTCCAGGACAGTCCAGGCTCCACAGAGAAACCTTGTTTCAGGAAAAAAAAAAAGCAGGAAAACTGAAGAAATTCAAGACCAGCTTAGGCTGTACAGTGAGTTCCAGGCTAGTGAGCTACAGAGTGAAACTATGGTTCAAAACAAAACAAAATTAAGGTAGGGAAATTTTAAGTTTGAGGCCAGCCTGAGCAAGATGATAAAAACAATTGATAGAACCAGGAATCTAGGGGTCTTTTTGTTTGTTTGTTTGTTTGTTTTTCAAGACAGGGTTTCTCTGTGTAGCCCTGGCTGTCCTGGAATAGATTTCTAGACCAGGCTGGCCTTGAACTCAGAGATCTGCCTGCCTCTGCCTCTGAAGTGCTGGGATTACAGGCGTTGTCACCACTGCCCAGCATAGGAATCTGGTTTTTAAATCTTGTATATTGTGCATGCAGAGTGTGTGTGTGTGTGTGTGTGTGTGTGTGTGTGTGTGTGTGTGTGTTTGTGTGTGTAAGAATGCCACAATACATCTGACAAGTTATTAGAGGACAACTTGTAGGAGCTGGTTCTCTTCTTCCACCTTGTGGGTCTCAGGGATTAAGCTTGGGTTTTCAGGCTTGGTGCCAACTGCCTTAACCCCCTGAGCTACCTGTTATTTCCAATTGTAACGTACCAGGGCTGGAGAGATACTTAGTGGTTACAAGTATATAGTTGTCTTCTGAAGGACCCAAGTTTGGTTCCCAGCAGCCATGTTAGGCAGCTCCTATCTGCCTATAACTCTAGCTTCAGAGGGATTCATCACATCTAGCCTACAGAGGCAGTACTTTCACATGTAAACAAATATGCACACAAAATTAAGATGTTTCAAACCGTAGTATATACAACTGAAGAGCTAAAAATAATTGAAGGATCAATGTAGAAGGGAATGAAGATATTAAGGCAAATAATACTTATCTTTTATAATCTAGAGTTGACATAAATCAGTTTCTGTGCTTTTAGGGGATTGTTTTCATCTTTTTAAGACAGGGGTCACATGTAGTCCAAGCTGGCCTAACACTGAGTGTATCTCCAAAAATGACTTTGAACTTCTGGTCTTCCAGACACCACATCCAAAGTGCTGGAATTATAGCCCAGTGACACTGCTTTCTGGAGAACAAATTGGCACTGCAATTCTTTGGCAATCTAGATAGCTTCTAACCCACTTAATTCCACTCTTAGGATTTCACCCAAGTGTGTACATAGGTGCACTGAAAGGCCAAAAATCTTTAAAGCAGCACTACTTGGAACAGTCCTAAAGTGAAATCAACTCAACAGAAGAATTGATCACTTGCAATATGTTCAGACCATTGAGCAATGAGAGTGAACTCCTGCAAACACATCGGCAGAGCTTTCACAGACCCAACATTAAGAGGAAGGAATCACAGAATACTTATGGAAGGGAACAATTTACATATAAAAGAAGCTAGGTGAATGGATTGTACTAGAATAAGGCACTGCATGGGCTTTCTAGAATGACAGACAGAATAACACAGATGTCCACTTCCTAAAAATTTATCAAATCCAAATGTTCATAATTTGTGTACTTTTCTGATTTAAAAGTGTGTTGAAAGCTGCACAAGGATGCTGGGTGTGGTGGTACTCACCTTTAATCCTAGCACACTGGAGACAAGAGGCTGTAAATTCAAGGCAAGCCTGGTTACATAATGAGTTCCAGGCTCCATAGTGAGATGAGACCCTGTTTAGGGGTGAGGGAAGGAAGTTTCACAATGGGGAGCTAGAGCTATGGCTCAGCAGTTAGGAAGATGTGCTGTTCTTTCAAATGACCTGAACACTGCTTCCAGAACCCATGTCAGATAGTTCACAACTAACTACCTGCTGGCTATTCCACCTACCCTCTTCTTGCTTCTGTGGGTTTGCACATATGTCGTATATATATTCTCATTCTTTCTTTCTCTGTCTATCTCTTTCTACACACACACACACACACACACACACACACACACAAATCTTAGCCAGATGTGATGGCAGAAACCTTTAATCCCAGTACTTAGGAGGCAGAAGAAGGTGGATCTGTGAGTTCCAGGCACCCACAGTCTACAAAGAAAGTTCTGGGCCAGCCAGAGTTACATAAATGAAGTAAAATATAAATATTTTTTTATTATTATTCTTTATTAGAGTTTATTCACTGTAGCCCACATCTCCTCCCAGTTCCACCCACCTTTCCTTTTCTCCCTTTATGTTCCTTCCCTAGTCCACTGATAGGAGGGGTCCTCCTCCCCTACTATCTGACCCTAGCCTATCAGGTCTCATCAGTACTGCCTGGATCCTCTTTCTTCATGGCTAGTAAGGCCACTTTGCCAGGGGGAGGTGATCAAAGAGCAGCCAACCAAGTTCACGCCAGTGACTGACCTTGTTCCCCTAACTAGGGAACCCACATGGAGACTGAGCTGCCCATAGGCTACATCTGAGCAGGAAGTCTGGGTCCTCTCCATTCTCTATGCATGGTCCTTGGTTGGAGCATTGGTCTCTGCAGGAACACCTGGGTCTAGATTTTTTGGCTCCGTTGGTATCCTTGTGGAGCTCCTGTCCCCTTTAGGTCTTTCTATCTCCCCCTTTTTCCATAAGATTCCATGCACTCTGCCCAAAGTTTGGCTATGAGTCTCAGCACCTGCTTTGATACCCTCCTGGGTATAATCTTTCAGAGACTCTCTGTGGAAGGCTCCTGTACTGTTCCATGTCTTCTACTTCTGATATCTATTTTGTTTGCTCTTCTGAATGAGGATTAAGCCTCTTCCCTAGGGGCATGCTTGTTGTTTAGCTTCTTTAGGACAATAGATTTTAGTATGTTTATCCTATATTATATGGCTAATATCCACTTATAAGTGTAGAAATAAACATTTTTAAAACTGATATCTAAGGACTCGTATACTAATTTAAAAAATGAAAAAAAAAATTAAGTTGCAATTTA